GGTATTGCAGAGTTACGAAATCTGTTCTAAATTTTGGAACCTGCAGCTTAATTGAGTCGCGGAAGTACGACCTCTGATCCGCCACTATATTAATGGGCAAGCGTTAAAGGTAATTCATTTATTTGGTAATACTGAAATATGCAACCTATGTTGGTAAATTTCATTATTTATTTTTTAGTCCAGATTTTATATAGCTTAATGTATATAATAAATTCCCTTTATGCGGTGATCATTGAATTTAAAGTTATTCCGTCATTATTTTATTTTTGTTTCATTGAAATTAAAGAATTCGTCCATTAGACAGAACAAAATGTTATAAAATACGGAAATAGTTTACAGTTTCAGAAAAACGAGCGGCATTGTAATATGAAATGTACTCTATCGTTTCAATTAAATTCTCATAATTATATAAAGGTTGAAATTTGTTATCAACGACCAAATTCACTGCCATCCAATAAGCCAGTCAGGTCAAGGAGGTATAAAATTATTATTTCACCTCCTTGGTCAGAGGTATAGAATCTAGTAGTATGAATTATGTATGCGTTTCTATATTTGGCGGGAGAAAATGACCAATATAAAATGTTCAATTATGCATTAATAACTAATTTAGAATATACATAGATAAACGGTTTTAAATATTGAATTTTCATTGTTCAAATAAATTAATTGGCTCATGCCTACCTTGCGTCTTTTGGATCACCGCTAGCATCAAACGATATCATAGGTCCCAGCTCACTGCGAAACGACACGTTAAAGAGCGCCTCCTTCAGTTGACTTCCATTGATTTTCTTGAATTCGTCGCATGTTCCCGGTTTTCCGTTACATAACTGCGTCTGAAGATTATGCAGACCGTGTGCAAGAGTATAGATTGCATCGATTACGTAACCCATTTTAGTGTCCTGTTGATAATCATCACGTTTTTTCATCTCTTCGCCTATAATTTAAAATTAAATCATCGTTTATCATCACAGTGCTATGCAGTCATTTATGATGAGTGTTAAAGTACAGATAATTTTATATGACAATGCTAATGATATTTATTTTATAATGTATCATATATTTTTATATATTGCCCATTAGATTGATTCCCACAAAGAGCCACCTTAATAGTTTTTACTTTTTTAAAACCCGTCTAGTAGTTGTACAATATAGAGTTGTCTTGCTTTTGCTGTTTGTATTTTGTCAATCGTTTGTATTTTTTTTTTAAATTATCGGACCAAAATAAAAAGAAATGACATCCACTTGAGGTTTCTATATAAATTACTTCCTCGACCAAATTGCTATTATGTTGTCCTTTGTTTAATTTGATTTCCTTCTTTATGTTGTCCTTTGTTTAATTTGATTTCCTTCTTTAAATTCATTTGTTCAATTTGGCTGGGTTTCTTTTATACTTGGATTGGATATAATTTCTGGAGATTTTGTGCAAAAAGGAGAGATCAGTTAGTATATTTCTATACGTTATGTGGGATATCAATGCCATTAAGAATAAAGTTGTGATGAGTCTGGCATGCAAGCATGCGAATGCTTCGTTTATTGCAGAGGGTGTAAAGGTCTGTCCCAAGGGCCCAGATCTGTTTTGAAAGGTGGGGCGGGGGACATTCCGTAAGACCACTCACCACCATGGTTGGGGCTGAGGTGGGAACATTTGAGGAAATAGTACTCTCTAGATGACTGGAAATGAGATTCTTACTGTATGTAGTTAAATTTATCATTATCACATCACCTCTATAGTCAAAATCCGCTAACAAATTTCTCACGACCGTTTATCAACGATTTTCGGCAATCATAGAAATCTAATTAATAATATGTGTGATGTACCATAGTAAATTAACTTTAAAACGATGTATTTATTTTACTTTACTTACTTCAAACCGTGAGTCCAGATCAACCTCAGCCCCACCATGGTTGGGGCTGAGGTTGGGGCTGAGGTCAGGGAACAGTAAAATTACAGTATTAAAAAAAAACTGCAAAGCAATATAACTGTTCCCTGGTGTGATGTACCATAGAAAATAAAACTTCAAACATTGTCTTTTATGTATTTACTTTACCTACTTTACCTACAAAGCCGTGAATCCACACCCATCTCGGTCCCACCATGATTGGGGCTGAGGCGCGAAATTTGGTTAAATTGTACTTCTAGGTGGCCGGAAATGACACTCTTATATAGAAAAATTAATCATCATCACATTACCATTATAGTGGGCATTTACATTAATAGAATCACAAATTATGATGGATGCACTCTGGTAGGAGACGGAAGGTCAATAATCACGTTAACTTACGGGTTTATCTGTCATTTCCACTCCACATTATCCCATTTTATGTTACAAATAAATGCGGTGTGCCCATATTTGGGTGTCATAATGACATCATCATGCCTGAATATGGGCACATCACACACATTTGTCACATATTTGATAGTTTCACTTGTTATAACACTTCCATCTGTTAGGCTACAGTACTTGCTTATTGATTAAGATTCATTGGACCAGCTACTTCTTTTTATATGCGTACATCATTGTTTTATTATATTGCATGTAATAATAATATACATATATAATTGTAGTAATATATTATATTTGTAACTATACCTTTATTGAAAATATCACACATGATATAATAAGCCATAAATCACAATATGACACAAGAAGTAGATTACTGGTAATAATCCATCTTGGTCCCCTTTTCCCAGTTTTATCATCTAGGAAGGTCTCTGTGTTTATTTACAATGGATTTTATATTTACAAAAATGGACCTTTCCACTAAGCCCCGCCCCTTAGATATTGTTGCTAATGTACCACAAGACGACAGTGTTAAAGCATACGCCAACACGTGCGTTTGTGGGACAACACGTGTGTTTGTGAGACGCGTGCGTATTCCTAGCGCTGTTCTGATTAGTCGGTTGTTAAGTTTAATTGACTCTCCGGAAAGGTCTATTGTGTGTCATTTCCATTTTTGCCGAGGTGGTAGGCCTACTGATTGATCGGTGCATTTTATATACAGATACGCTCCTGGCGATTATTGTCCAGGGTGCTCTATATTGTTTTATCTACGTTTGCAAGTGCAGTCACCACTCTTACTCGTGCATTATTTACACATTAAATTACACTTGTTGTCCCGTACTTGCACAGGTTTCTTCAAAAAAGATTTCATAATTATTTACCACGGTGGTCTAGGTTATATATTATAGTACCGTACGGAGATCCGAGTGCGAATTTCGATAAGGCGCTATTCTTTGTTACTGTAAGATGCTCGATTTAAGACACGTAATCGAAATTCTCCTTATTGTGTGGTATTTAACCTAAAGAAACTCATTTGAAATGCCGCCTCCAAAGTTCAGTGACAATGGCTAGGGACGTAAATATTCCATACTGAATAAATAAATAAATAAAAATAAATAAGTATAATACGATATAGGCTATCAAATTATTCTGCATATGTATACGCGAGTACGTGAGAGCAACCGGGATGCTAATCTATGTCTTCTGTGCATTCGAATTAGTTTCTTCACAGCAGCACATGTCTGAGTTCAACAAGAGTTCCAGTTTCATTTATTAAGTAGCATTATTTTACATACAATATCCAATAAACTAGAGATATCTAAATTTTAAGTTGTTTGAAAATTGAGATACAATTGCAAATTGTTTGAAATGGATGTCTGGTCGAATATAAAAGCCAGGCATACCCTAAGTCGCCTACGACTTAGGGTATTTCCCACAAAACAATCCCAAACTGTAAATCTGACCCAGAAACATACAAATATTAAACAGCTTGTAAAAACAAATAGGAGACATTGCTTGAGACATTACTGGAGATGACATAACTAGGCCTTATAGTGACTCCTATCATGGATCTATTAATAGGTTTATGGTCCTAAGCGTCAGAACTGTTGATTTTCTTTTTCTTTTTTGCCCTTTGCCTCACCCTTAAACCAGGGGCGGCGCCAAAAAATTCCTCAATGAGGGGTTCAGGCTCCCCGACAAGGGGTTCAAGCTCCCCGACAAGGGGTCCACCCCACCATCCCCGGTCTGGGAAAAAAAAATAAATTTGTCGTTAATATGTAATTCTTTATTTAAAAAGAAAAATTTGATAAAAAATCATGCAAGTTAAGGGTCCCCTTGTCGGGCGTACTAGTCCCCTTGTCGGAGGTACCAGCCCCACTTTCGGGGAAGAGCTGTCGCCACCACCAATACCGGTATCATTACTCCAGGCATTACATAACCTTTCTGGTCCCCTGGCCACAATCATGGTGGACTGGCTTCGATCACATTTCCTTCTATCACTCTCAATCTGTTACCAACTATGTCATCATTAGCCCAAGCCTCATGATGATCATCATTATACCAAAATCTCAGAAATTTTGTAGAAATCTAAAGTCTTTCACATATCCCTGAGAATGCAGGAAAGTACATATCCGAGCATCTAGGAATCCCCACCCTCCAGACCCCTCCAAATTATATAAGACACGCCCCCAATCCCCTTTCACAAAAAGCTGGTCCGCTCATGGTCGCTGGCGGTGAGTGTGCCGGATTTATTCATGACGGTATCTGTACTCACCAGTGCAGTTTGGACGTCTTGTGTCGTTCTGGCATCTACCTAAGCTGCAGTTAAATTTCTCCTCCCAGAATTCACAGAACCATGGGTTACGGGTGTAAGTGTACGGGTTCAGAGACATGTAATACTCATCAAAATCCTCGATTCTACTCGTCTTAGGTTTGATTGTGAAGCTGCCGTTGGCTTCTTTCTGCAGGCCTTCCACTACATTCACTTTATCCGCCCACCCATCACTATAAAACAAGTAATTTTCAAGCTTTTAACTACTGAATGATTTCAAATGAATACAAATTATTATTAGTAATATAGATATTGTATAGTAACTAGTAGTAATTAATTTGGAACTTTTCCAAAGGTGTATACATTTATCATGTAATAATGATGATGGAAATTGCCAGTAGGTCTACATTCTTGCAGCGCAATTGCAAAATTGTGGAACATGATCTATTTTGGTTAAGGCTAAGATATTATTTTGTCATTTGCATGCATTATTTTGCCGCAGGCTGCAGGTCTTATTGTCTCGCACAAAATCTAGATATATTGTGTAGTGGTATCTATAACCAAGTTCCGCTGAAGTTGTGTAATCATTTTTGTTAGGCCTCATTATTACGTCTTTACTATTACGGGTATAAAAAAGATTAAATGATTCATTATGCATCAGGTTATTTAATGATGTTTTGAGAACAATAATACAGAATACGAACCGAATACGTATACATTAGAAATAGTTCAATAATATATTTGAGCTATATAAATTCATGAATAAATCCATAATAATTTGTTTTATATTTACTACTAAACCTATTCATTTTGTCTCAATTACTAAAAGAAGGATGTTAATTGCTACATAAATTGAAAAATAAGGTAAGTAGACCAATTAATGTGCAATGGTGATTCCAATTGGCTTTGAAATACTTTAGGCGGAAATATTAAAAACGAACAAAATTTAATGATTCTAAACACATTTCTTGGGACTAGAATATTTCTTAAGGATGGATTATAATGAAGATCATTCCAAATAATGAAGATCATTCCAAAAATTGGTAATGCCATTTTCATTAAAATAAATAATATGCTTTGTCAATTTTCGGAGTGACCTTATGTAGGCTATGATAATAGTCAAAATAATCTCAGTAATTACCAGTTTTAATCAGTTACTCTATGCTGAATAATTATGAAATTACTAAACCAATGTGATATAGAACAAACTAGATAGGCATACACGATTTTAACATATAACCCATAGTTACATAAAATTGATACACTCTATCGCTTTACATACTATACTGAGAGCTTTTTGTGACGCTGGTTTGTTGGTAGAATCGGGAAACATTCTCCTTCGGTTATAAAAAACCGGTACGCATCAATTGCAGTGAAAACACTTTTGAAAAGAGTGTAGCGATTTTATGGAAACCACTACTAATCATATCCAATCCAACTACCTTCCAATGATTAAAAATTTATTTTCATAGCCGAGCTGACCAATGGCTCTTAACAGTCCCCTCACTATGCTTGACTGGCAGAAGCACACCACAATCCGTGTGGTATTCTTCTCTAAAAACCTCTGCACCATATCGATAAAGATTTTCTGATTATTACTGTCGCTCTGTTTCGCTTTCTGCCTCGATGCCACACATATACCCGCTACAAGCGCTTCCTCGACAAACGCATCCATGCCCTTTGTTCCATAGTTTTCTGTAAGATTGCAAAATCAAGAAAAATAAGTAATGCAAGAACGCTGATAAATCACATGATATATTTGTATTTTTTAATATAAAGTTTTGTGTTCTACTAGGCCTATTTATCTCATTATTGCATCATTACATAATATACATACACACATACAATTAGTTTCAAACTTAAATTTAAGATGAGTTATGCCGATCATTGTTAAGGGAGCTGGACGTCCCTTCACAGGATACATAGTTTCGTTTGTGGGTTGCAGGACACAGGACGCTTACAGCCATGTTCATTGGGCCAGGGTTTGTGTGTCTTGGTAAATGAAGTGAGCTAACATTCTTACTCTGGAATTGGTTAGAGTTGAAGAGCCTTTAACAGTGGCGAATCTGGGGGTATTATGAGGGGTGATGGAGAAGGATTGGAAAGTGAAGGTGTGCTAACTGGCGGAATCATGTGAAATAAGATTATTCAAGCTATTTCAGTGTGTGCAGTAGTTACTTTATTCAGCAAATTGCTCAGTGGGGCATGGATGGTGCCAAATTTTTCTGGGGTAATTAGGGCTTGCGTCTCCCCGCCTCTTTTATTTTTTTTAGAAAGGCCTCTAGTCATTACGGCCTAAGTGGAGTAACGTCCCTACATGGGATAAATAGTTCGGTTTGGGCTATGTTTGCGGTCACCGAAGAACCTTTATTAAGTATCATCCCACCGTCCCAAAATTGTGATTCGAGTATAGGTCCAGGCAGGGTCGCCAAGAGAGGAAACTGTAACGGGGCAAGGGTTGGTGTGGACCCCTGTTACGAGCGCGAGAAAAATTACACCGAAGGCGCAAACAAAATTTTGAGGGGCCCTGTCAATCTGGAGGGGCCCAGTATTAGAGGATCCATGCCATTACTGAGGGCCCATGATAGCAATTATTATTTATGAAAAAAATATGTAAAACAATGCTACCTGCAATTTCATATGAGCCCCTGGTAAGTTTGGGCCCTGGGGACTTCCCCCTTCCCTACTCTCGGTGGCCCTGGGTCCAGATAATATCTCTTTATTGCATCAGACAAACGCTCACACACATTAGCGCTGAAAAATTAGTGTCAGCCAAGGCTGGACCGGCTGTATACCAACCCAATGTTTACCAAGTTTAAAATCCACGACGTGGACATTGGTGGCAGAGATATTGCTTGGTTGAAATCCTGCCCGAACCAAGAGTTATCTCACAGGTCTAAAACAATTCCACTTAAAATAATCGAGTCTAAAGCTTATTAGACCAATTTATAATGGTCAATGGCCAATATCGTCTGCACAATTTCCATTCGTATGGAAACACAGGAAAGAACAAGACTAGAATAAATGTTTGAAAAGGTAAAGAAATCACTACTGCAGTAACATTTCTTGCTTTTACGTCAGCGGCATCACGAGTCTAATCTATGTATAAGTCCATAAACATTATATTTTCATGTAGGCCTAAGCATTTTTCAAAGGTAATCTTAATATTGTGAATTGTTGTTTAATACATTTTACACCACATGATTTATTTGTTTTCGTCGAGTAGTGAGTATGAATAGTCTTTTCTTAATGCATGAATACTGGTGGTACTTATGCAAATTCCCGTTAATGCCGCTTTTCGATTCGCCTGCATTTTCTAGATTACGATGTCAGAGTTGCGCGCAGATAATGAAGAAAGAGTAGTGAGTTTATACTAATGTTTTTCTCTATTATAAGCCTAACCCGTTTATTTATAGAATTAGATCATGCACTAATGTACAATAACTTGACGAATGTGACATTTTCGTAATTTGGTTGATTTTTTAGTAAATACGTTAAATCTAGTCTAACATGTGACCTTAATTGATTCAGGCGTGGGTATTAGTTTGCGTGTGTTGACCAGTGGAACTCAAAAAACACGCAAACAGCATAAGCACAGAATGATCAATGTTTGAATTGTTCTGTATGTTCTGAAAAGTTTATTTTCAAGTTTATTTGTGTTTTTTATGTTATTGCTTTTGGTGTTGTTGTTTTTGTAACTCTTGTGCTTTTATTTTTGTAGTTTATAATTATAATTGGTTCTTGACTTGCACAAGTTTTTTATGTACCTGGTGTATTTTTGTGTGTACGTATGTATGTAATTGTTAGAGTTTTCTTGTATTCTTGTGCAATTTTTATATTTTTGATATATATATTTGAACTGCAATTGATATTTTTGATATTGAATTCTTTTCAATTTATTGTAAATAAAATTTTTCGTAAAATAATTATAATTTTAATTAATATTCAATTCAATTTGTTGTAAATGAAATTTTTCGTAATAACTTTAATTTTAATTAATATTTAATATTTAAAACATTTTTATATATAATATTTAAATTATGTATTTGAGTAGATGCGTTACAATTTCTTTGCTATTGTAATTTGATGTTTGTTGGTGTTGACGTGTTTATGCCAGATTCAAGAAACATTTCTGTTTATGTATTTTTATATGTGAATAGACCAATAAAGCTTATCTTATCTTATCTGAAATGGGCCTCTTCTGCAAGAGATCAATATTCTAGATTCAAGAACGTTTAATGGTCCATATATAAAATAAACAGATGAAATGGCAACACAGATACAATATATACAATTATAAAATGAAAAGAACGGGTAAAATGGGAGACTATTTTTTAAAGAGTTAAACATGTTAATGCATTGTATTTAAAACAAAAGCATTGCTTGTTTTGCTTTAGGGGATAGTACCGTATATTACAACGGATACCAAAATAAATGCTTGACAAACGTAAGCTGATCGCGAAGCAGTACGGTACGTAATTCACAGAGCACGCACGTGAATCTGAACCTAAGATCAAATAAGACGCAAGTTTTCTTGTAGACAGATAGTTATAAAATAATCTACCTCCCCCATGATCTAAGAGATGGATGATACAGGTGTTCGATATAAATTGACACCCTATCTATCCCAATCATTTAACTCAATCAAAATCCATAATGCTCGCATTACGATGCATCAAGCCTTGACACAGAGCCCTCAAATTAATGCTAACGCTAATATTTTCCTTTTGCGATTTCATGAAGTGTAGCCCTGCTACACACCTGTACGTATAATTCAAACACAACTTTTAAACAACGAACAATTACTTATCGTATTATTTCATCAGCAAATTAGACTCTATCTGACAGGGAATTATCTTTATCAGGTGATGACGTAAAGAGAGAAGCAATACAAAGTCTAGGGTGTCATTATTACGGGAAGCCTGTATCGCCTCGATTGAAAGTGCCTACTGCGATAGATTTACATTCTCGCGACAGGCTTTAAGCCGCTTGTGTGCTTACTATCTACAATGGATAAAAACGCGTAATAATATAGTAACTAATGATATACAATGGTTGTAACTCCGTACGTCTGTGTATGATCGTTATCGAGAGTGACGTCGCCTTCCGAACCGTAATTCCACAAATACCTGGCCCTAAGTGTTTATGTTCATATCTTTACATCCAACAGCGATTGACCTGAAATTACATGATCAAAACTTGTTCTTCTTAGTTGACCTTTGAGTTGACAATTTTCATACATTCACAATTATATTATCATTTCTGACAGCCACAAATTTTGTCTCCACACTGAGCTGAATAATAAACGTACCGTCAATGAATGAAAATATATTACTATTATTATAACCCTTGTTCTTACTACAGATAAATCATATTTATAATTTGCTATCATTAATATGGTTTTTATCTGTTTAGATAACTAATGTTTACACGACATCCATAGGATGATTCAACACCAAGATAGAATCACTATAATTATTCTTTACTGGTGAATGGAACTAAGAATGCTTGCAATAACAAAACGTCGACCCCCCTCGGGGCCATCATTACATAGGCCTATTAACATTTTATCCGCCCAGCCTTCCAAAGAAATTTTTCATAGCAAAATGAGTTTGATGTATCATTAGAAGTTAATGAATATACTTATGACTGATTGCTTAGTTATATTGAATATCTAAATTAATGTTAATGGCTATCATTTCATTTTGGTATTAACAAATTGATATTCTTATTGATATTAGTATTTGCATTTATATATTGATGTA